TACTTGTAAAGCCAAAAACTCATTCCTAGTTGACAGCTTTCTTTAAACTCCCATAGGCACAGTGAAACACGCATCGAGAGCGATTACCCCTCGAATTCCCATAATCCCAAAGCAACGGGCTGAATTTCAACACAAAAAAAGAGGAAAAAGAGGAAAAAGAGGAAAACCTGAGTGAATCTGAGTGGAGTGAAAAGCCGAGAGTAGACGATAGGCAGAAAGGGACAAGTTCATCACTTTCCAGTCCCAAAATGCCATTCCCGCGAGATCACAGCAATTTTCGTGTGTGATCCCCTTTCTCTTTTCGCTAACGGCGACCGGATAGGCCTCTCACCGATTTGGATTTGTTTCCAATGCTGTGAACCGATAGAAGAAGATTGGGGGTTGAGACTTTACAAGAGAATTTAAGCAATACGGAAGATTGAGTTAACATTGGAAGTTCGGATTTGATACGTAAAGACGTAAAGTACGTACGTAAAGACGTAAAGTCCGTACGTAAAGACGTAAAGTATGTACGTAAAGACGTAAAATACGTACGTAGAGACGTAAAGTACGTAAAGATTTAAAGCACGACACTGTATCTTGTATAAGCTTTGCAATTTGACGGATTTGAATTCAGTATTCAGTATGATTGAGACTGAGACTCTTGGAAATGAGTAAGACTTGAAAATGAGTAAGCAATGAAGAATTTGAATAGCTTTGTGAGCTGTTTATGGCTCAAATCTTGTAATTTTTCTTGAACAACTTGAATTAAAGCTGATAGCCAAGCTGATAGAGCAAAGAACAAGCTTTACTTGTTGTCAGGCTCTGCGGAAGAATGGGATAAATTTAAATCCGAACTAGACTAGCTAGACTAGCTAGACTAGCCAGGCTAGCCAGGCTAGCTAGACTAGCTAGACTAGCTAGACTAGCTCTAGACTTCTTACATTAGTTGTATTCTTACGTGAGGAAACTGTAGACTACTCATTTTGTTGAAAGTCATCATCAACAATTCCCTATTGATTTCTCGATTTGTTCAAGCAACATCGGCGTGTGCGTGTGAAAATTCTTTGCGGACGCGGCACTGTTTGCTCAGTGTTGCAGACAGCAAAGAAAAGACTTTTCCCTTTTTTTTCCGCTCCCAAATCCATGGCATTGCCGTGGGGCGGAAGACGGAAGAGATTCTCACGTCATGTGGTTTTTCTTCTGAAAATGATAGGGTGAACTGTTAGAAAGAAGCAAAAAGATCTATTACATAGTAGAAAATAGACTTGACTATCGATATTATCGATATTTTTGGAGTAGCCGCACAAAAAATCTTATAACTTTGCACAAAATCACTCAAATTCACTGAAACATTCGAAATTTACCATTCGAAAGCCATTAGAGAAGGTTTTTTGAGATGCGTTATTCCTTTAACAGTACAGTACGTACAGTACGTATGGTACGTACAGTACGTATAGTACGTAGCAGTACTTATTAGGTACCAAAATGAAGCTTGAACTTCTGGCTTTCTATTGGTAAAAGTTTCAAAGCATTTGGAGCTACACACACAAAGATATGTTCATTTTAACGCGACCACTTTAAAGTATCGTTAGCCAAGTCTAGTAGAAAGACACGTAAAGTATTTGCTGACAGCTTTAAACTGAGAGTTTGTCAAGTTTTCTGTCAAGTTTTGTCAAGCCATGGAGGAGTCAAGCCATAGCCAATCTTCGAATTATCCCCAATTACCCAAAACAATCGTTACTTAGTTTAAAACTATACTCTACTTTCCCCCAAAGACCTTGTTTACCTTGAAGTAAGCCAGAGGCTTTGCAACGTACAATCAGTTGAAGCACCATTGTTCTCATCACTATTCTCCATTTTCCCTATTTTCTCTATTTTCTCTATTTTCCCTAATAGTAGTGTTCATTAAGCTTCGCCTAAATTGATCGAAATCTCGAGAGCCGCTTATCAGAACCTATCGATATGGGTCGGAAAATGTAGCTGACGATGAGATCTATTGGAGGATTTGAGTGTTGAGCTTCTGTGAAAACTGGGAAACTGTAAAAGAGTCATCAACTCGGCTCAGCGCGGTGCACTACTATTAGAGAAAAATAGGCTATCAATAGGCTATCAATAGGGAAATATAGGCTATCAACTAATCTAACAGTATTACAATCGATCTGCGTAACCCATTTCGAAACTCTCTCTATTTTTCCGAGGGCGGCAAACATTTTTGGTGGGGTTGGAGGGGAAAAAAAGACGGGGGCACTTACTCAGAGCGCTGTTGGCTGTTTTCGTTTTTTTTCCTTCTATTCGCGCACAAAAATCGAATCGACCCAAGGGTTTTGATCCTGAGAGAAGGAGGGGAAAGGTGAAAAGGGGGAAGAGTTGACAGAGAGCGAGTGAAAGGGACTGAACAGTCTCTCCAGCCATGTGATAGAGAGATCGGTCCCCCGAAAAAAACATCCCGCAGGCAGCCCTACTTTTGAGGGAACTCAAGATTGAGAAATTGAATCGAATCGATTTTGGGAAAGGGATTTGGTGATTTGACAAAAGTTAGACTGAATTTTGTATTTTAGAGCAGTCTGATTCGTATTTAGTGTATTTAGTTTGGCTCTTTTGTGTTACTTGTCTGCTTTCTGTTATCAATAAGCTTATTAATATCAGATCTAGACTTTCTGAGTGACATTTTTGACCAATAAAAGTACTTTAAACTTTACTAGATTAAAAGCGTGAGAGCGTTTTTTCATGTCGTAAGGGATAAGACCTTCTCCTTGCGGGTAAGGGTAAGGTGTTCGTGTGGTCTATTGGTAAAGTGCTCTCAAGTTATGAGGTCGGAGGTGCGGAGGTCGGGGGTTCGAACCCGCGTCCCGACTTTTGTTTTGTTTTCCAGCCCTTGTCCAACTCTAGAGCGACACTCCACTTTACCAATAGACCGTGTGGTCTATTGGTAAAGTGCTCGCAGGGTAAGGGGTCGGGAGGTCGAGAGGTCTCGGGTTCGAACCCAGGTGCTGACCTTGTTTTTTTTCCAGCCCTTGTCCAACTCCAGAGCGGTAGATGGGTTTTTTTTGATGGGTTTTACTGTGATTTGATCTGTTTTTCCTGTTGTCTTATTGTCATTAGCTGTGTACTCAAAACAAAAACTAAAAAGTTGGGGTAATTTACTACTTGATAAATCATTGTTTCAAGAAATCATTCGAAAATTTGTCATTGTTTCAAGATAATCTTTTCAAAATTTCTTAGCTCAAGTGAGAGATCAAATGTTTTTTTTTGAAAACCTACTTACTCACATGTTTAGACTACTTGTTACTACGGTCTACTTGTTAAAAAAGGAATTAAAAAGATTCTAGGATTGAAGAGATTCTAGGATTGAAAAGATTTTCATGTTTTTACCTCAAAAATCCTGGATAAATCACCGTTGAAACACTCGGCAAACAAAGGGATATTTCCCCAAGTGATCAAGTGAGATTTTTCGACTTGGGATAGCTTTTTTTTTGTCAAATTTTCTTTGTTTCTTGTACATTCCCGAGTATCCCTATCCAACTTTCGGACCACAATAGAATCCATTTCTTTGTCTGCGCAAAATTTGCATCCGATTTCTTTTCACTCTTCTTTTTTTTTTCTTCTCTCATCCACAAAAATGACCATTGTGCCAGTGAAAGATGGTCAGGAAAAGAGAAAAAAGAAGAGAAAGGGAAGGAGAGGAAGAGAAAGGGAAAGAAGATAAAAGAAAGGAAAGAAGAGAAAAGGAAGGAGAGAAAAGGAAAGGAAGGAAAGGAAAGAAAAGGAAGGAAAGAACAGAAAAGGAAGGAAAGAAGAGAAAAGGAAGGAAAGGGAAGAAAGGAAAGAAAGGAAAGAAAGGAAGGAGAGGAAAGAAAAGAAAAGAAAAGAAAAGAAAAGCAGAGAAAAGAAAATCAAATCGTTTTTTTCTCTCGAAAATTGAGAAATGAGAAAAAGGAGAGGGAAAATCGGGGAAATTTCGCTTTCGAACAGACGTCTCATGCCTGCGGGGAGGGAAAAGAATCATCTTTCCCACAGTGAGAAAGCTTGGCTTCATTTGGGAAAATCTTGACCATATTTTCCCATCTTTTACGCACATGTTTAAGCTGTTAGCCTTGGAAATTGAGAAATAATGGGAAATTGCAATTACTATTTGTTGCTCAACTCAGTTACGTCTAAACCTTTACGTCCTTCATAAGCGTAAGCTTATGATTGCATAGAAACAAGAATCTTCTTTGTTTCAACATGAAACTTTTCCCGATTGGGCAATAGAATCATCAAAATCGCTGCTGACAATCGCTGCTGACAATCGCTGCTGACAATCGCTGCTGACAATCGCTGCTGACAATCGCTGCTGACAATCGCTGCTGACAATCGCTGCTGACAATCGCTGCTGACAATCGCTGCTGACAAGTCGAATTAAACAAAAATGAATTCAATTGATTGATTATTGATTTGAGTTTAAAATTTCAGAAATGATTTTATTCAAATCACAATTTTGATTAATTTTTAACCAAAAAAACTTATTAGCCTATGGAAATTTCAATTTGCCTTTTGAGTTTACGGCTTTTAATTGTTATTTATTTATTCCCCCATCACTCAAAATCTCATTTATCCCCGTGGCAAAACTTTTTCGAGAGTTCGGTGCTGTTTTTGCTGTATGTATGTTTTTGCGCGTGAAAGTGGGGTCGGGTAATGGCGATTTTGAGGAGTAAAATTCGAGAAACCGGTTTTCATCATGGGAAAATGCGGGAAAAGTGAGGGATTGAAGAGGGAAAGGGCCTTGGGAATATGATGGTCATATTGATGGTCATATTGATGGGTACATTGTTCATTGAGACAATCTTTTGCTTTTAATAGCTCAGGGCTTATCGTTAGTGATTTGGTAGCTATAAAGATGTGATAAGTGATGAGATTTCCAACAGTCAAGCCTAAATTCTCATCTGGAGCCTAAATTTGCCATTTTCAGAAAGAATCGCGAAAAGAATTGCGTGTAAAGAGAAAAACTTGGACAGACTCTTAAAATTATGAAATTTTAGTTACAACGACGCCTCTCTTCACCCGAATCATTGAACGCTTCGATTCTCGGCGGAATCTTGAGAAGGTGAGTGAACATAATAACAAGTAAAGCGTAACAAAAACTTGATTCTTTACACTTCTTTTTTGACAAAAATTTCTTGACTGTAAGTGGGACTCACTACGAAGGGTCGAACCCGGATCGTGTGGTTTCTAGACGAACGCACTCCCGACTGCGCCACGGGGACGCCAAAAACCGGCCTGAAAGGTCCAGCTGAAAACCCCTCTAACAGGTTAACGACGAAAAACTACGGGGGTTAACGGCAAAAAAAGCCATTGAAGCCATTTAAGCAGATTTTTCAGCAGGGTCTTTCGGTGGGGCCGTGGCGCAGTCGGGAGCGCGTTGGTCTAGAACGCACGGGATCCGGGTTCGACCCTCCTGAGTACCACCTCATTTTGACATTTCAATTTTTTCTTTTAAAATCCACAACAACAATATATTCTAAGGTTTTCTAAAGAAGTTTTAGCTTTATTGGCGCAAAAGATGGCTGAGAAAAAGCCCTTACAGGCAGAGAAACGGACAAACAAACCCTGCTCTTTTATCTATAGTAAATCAGGCAGAAAAACAGTTACGCTTTGTCTTTTTAGTTGAATGACATTGAGCAAATTTGTGTCATCAGCTAGAATTTCCAAAAGAAATCGTTGATCAAAAGATTGACTTCAACTCAGAAAAACTACCCTAACTACTCGAGGATTCTTGTCTTTTTTTTAGTGGCTTAATTGTACCTTGTTTTCGAGATTTCCTAATGTCACCTCATCTAGTAAAGTGAAGAAATCTCCACCGCGCCTAGTAAAGCTTCCTGTTTATAAGAACTCGATCAAAATATTTACTGCACTTCCACGTGAATCCTCGTCCCTCTTCGACTCTCACGTGTCTTCATGACCGGGTCTCTATTTGCGCGCGCACTTTTTACCAGGCCTTCGGGCGCCCATTGAAATGCCTCTTGCGTGTCCCCTTTCCAATTTCTCTCTTCGATGAGAGTCTCGTTGCCTGAGGAGTCGGCAGTCCCGATGGGCAACAGTCGGCAAACAGTCTTCCCCTCCACGGTCCTTTCCACAAACTCCCTTTCCAATTCCTCTCTCTTTTCCAGAAAAGAAAAGAAAAAAAATTCTGCCAGTCTTCTCTCTTTTCAGCCCACTGGCAGCCCACTGAATCACCCTCTACTTTTGGGAATTTTGGGGACCGAGATTTTTCAGTTAAATAGAAAATAGAATGATTGACTTGAAAAATGATTCCATAGTTGTTGACGTGGAAGTCATTAGCATTGAGTTTCACGATGAATTCATCGAGAACCAAATCATCATCAAATCATCATCAAATTACCCATAGCTTTATAAAACAGTTTCAGTGGAAAGGTGGACTCCGTTACAGGCTCTGAAGTTCCGGACCGCTTTTTATACGCGCCCCGCCCCCTCTTTGCCATTGGCAATCTAACTTTGAGCTCAATTATTTTGGTGTTGGATTGTTCAATTTAAATAGTTTTGATACCAATCGATAGAGAAAGACTTGACGCATCTAATGATCCAAAGAATATCTAAATTGAACAATCCAACACCAAGATATTTGAGTTGAAAGTTAGGGTGGGACGCGCTAACTTCGAGCTCAAATTTCTTGGTGTTGGGCTGTCCAATTGAAATAGTTTTTGTACCAATCGATAGAGAAAAACTTGGCGCATCTAATGATACCAAAATATTTCAATTAGAAAGCCCAACACGAAGAAATTTGAGCTCAAAGTTAGATTTCCAATGGCAAAAGGGGCGGGGCGCATATAAAAGGTCCAACAACTTTCACGGCTTCAAGGAATTTCATTTTTCTAGTTCATAAACCAAATTATTGGTCTTAATGATTACCAAGGGCTAGAACATACAGATGATGTATTTGGTAAGGCTATAGGGCAAGGTTCTGTACCTACAAATGACCCACAAGAGACTTTGATACGTTCTGGTCTTGACGAGGTTATCAAGTGAGGTTTTTGACTCACACTTGTACAAAAAAAAGCGGAAAAGCAGTTATATCTACATCTAGTCTAGGAAAATCTATCTATTTTCTCTAAAACTAAATCTCTTGTGGCTGGGCATGGTTCCAGGTCCTTTGGTTCAGCCATTCCCTCCATCCTACAGTCCTTTGTCCCCTCATTCCTTCATTTCGCACGTGCATTCCTCTTTCTCCCCTTTCATTCCCATCTTTGAGCCATCTTTGAGCCAAAGAAAGGAAAATTTGGGGTGAAAATTGCGAAAATGTGAAGAGTGAAAGGGGAATGGGTGATGGGCAATGGACAGTCATGGCCTGAAGGGAAAACAAAGGGTGAGGAGCCCTTCCCCGATTTGGCAATCCTCAACACAGCTGCAAATCGAAAGCAGATGTCATTGCATAAACAACAAATACAAAAAGAACTATTTCAATCGATCAACCGAGCAAAAGATATTTGAGTTTCAAGTTAGATTTTCACAATGTCAATTGTCAATTGTTAATTCTCAATTGTGAATGAAGCAAAAAGCAAAGCAAAAGCCGGCTGAAATCAAATGTCAGAAAAGTTCTGAAATCCGCTTAATCTTTGGATTATTCTATTTACATGGAATGTCAACTAGTGGAATGTCAATGATAGCTGTTTGATGCTGTTTGATGTTCATAGTTACAAGTAAATGGCGAAGAGTAAAAGGGGAATGAATTGGCAATGGGAATGGATAGTCATCCAGTGGTCTAAGGGGAAAACAAGTCTAAGTAAAGTCTAAGTTGAAAGGAACTAAAGGGAAGTCTAAGTTGAAAGTTGAAAGTTTCGTTTAGTTGAAAATATAGGTTTAGTTTAAAATAGAGAAGTAGTTTAAAATCAACTTGTATTCGAAACAAAGCAAACAACAACAAAGCAAGCAACAAAACAAACGAAACAAAGCAATTCATCCAAAAAAAGCCAAAGAAAAAGTAGCACAGCGGACTAGAGCTCGAGATTCGAACTCGAGCTTTGCCTTGTATTCTAACCCACTGCCACTCGGCCATCACTGCTTCTTGCTGCTCTTTTGTTAGTCGAAATTAGAGGCAAAGATTTGCTCTAAAAGAAACTGCCATTGGATTAGGATTAGGTTTAAAACGAGCTTTTACTTAAAACTACACAAAAAAAAACTGTTGCTGCCTTTCTGAAAGGATTAAATAAATATGTAAAGTCTAGTTGAGGCTCTTTTAAAACAAAAACTTTATTAAAACCTTCCTTGATCTTTTTGGCTAATAAGCTTTTTGATTTACTTCATTTTAATGTACAAACTTCTTGCCTAACGTACAAAGGCTTGAGGCTTGAGCTTGAGGCTTGAGCTTGAGGCTTGAGCTTGAGGCTTGAGCTTGAGGCTTGAGCTTGAGGCTTGAGCTTGAGGCTTGAGCTTGAGGCTTGAGCTTGAGGCTTGAGCTTGAGGCTTGAGCTTGAGGCTTGAGCTTGAGGCTTGAGGGGCTTGAGGCTTGAGGCTTGAGCTTGAGGCTTGAGCTTGAGGCTTGAGCTTGAGGCTTGAGCTTGAGGCTTGAGCTTGAGGCTTGAGCTTGAGGCTTGAGCTTGAGGCTTGAGCTTGAGGCTTGAGCTGAATTTTTGAATATTTAACACTTCTACTCTCTATTTTGATCCCAATAGAATCCCATTTATCGTCTAAAAAGCCGCGCCATTTGCCGAAAGCGTTTGTTTGCTTGTTTGGGCAAACTCGACAAAAAAAACGCACCTCTATTGAAATTCAGCTAACAGAAAAAAAAATGGAAAATTTTTCAGGGCAAAATCGAAGAATGGGGGAAAATCGTTGAGGGATTCTCTTGAAAAGATCGGATTGTCGTTGCCGGCTGGAAGGAGAAAAGCTGGAAGTGTCACGCTGTTGACATCGCTCGTTGAAGGTAATAAGGAAATCGATTATATTGGGTTGGTGAATTGAAAACTGCGGGACTTTGAACTAAAATTTATTCAACATAAAACCATGAATTCATTCCAAATAATTTCCATTATTATTGACGACTTCCGCCCATTTTACAGGCAATTTGCGGATTCCTCTTTCGTAGTAGGATTTTGGTTTGTGTGTGAGACAAGTGTGAGACTCAAAAATGGAGGACTGGAGATGGAGACTGGAGATCCCAGTTTGAGCCCTTTCTTCAAAAGAAACCCATTTTGGTGTCAATAGAAAAGTTGTAGAGAATCAAAAATTAGGCTTATAGCCAAATTTCCAAAAAGATACACTTAGTAGTTTCGCTTAAAATGCAAGTTTTATTGCAAGTTTTGTTGCAAGTTTTGTGAAAAGTCGTAAATTTGGCATTTCTTGAAAACCAGTTTTTGAATCGTTCTGAAAATTTGGATTTAAGCTTGATTTTTGATTCTCCACAACTTTTCCATTGACACCAAAATGGGTTTCTTTTGAAGAAAGTGCTCAAACTGTCACATATGACAATAGCCGGCAGTTTTCAATTCACCAACCCAATAGAAATGATTATAACAAATTAAATTACAATAAAACGATTATAGCAAAGTCAAAAAAGCACTACTCTTATATTAATTAATTCTAAAAACGTATGAATTTAGAAAAAAAATGGAAACAATCGATGTTTAAAGGCATCAGACTCGAATTTGAGCTTGTTTTGGCATAGCGTAGCGTAGCGTTTTTGTCTTGCTCGGCTAGGGTTATCAAAGTCATTAAAAAAAAGCTTACAATACTTCTATTCTATGTATGCCAAAATGGTTTTAGACAACCATGTTTCTGAATATTTCGTTCGTTCGTTCGTACTTGAATTGAGAATCTTGATTTCTTTCTTGAATTGTTGTCTATTTAGGGGAAAATTTAGGTTTTTCTTTTTAAGTTCTCTTTAAGTTAGGTTTTTGCTAAGCTAAGATGCTAAGTTAAGCTGCTACGCTAAGCTGCTAAGTTATGCCGCTAAGCTAAGCTGGTAAACTAAGCTTTAATCTAAGCTGCTAAGCTAAGTTGTTAAGTTAAGCTGCTAAGCTAAGCTGCGACGCTAAGCCGCTAAGCTAAGCTGCTAAGCTAAGCCGCTAAGCTAAGCTGCGACGCTAAGCCGCTAAGCTAAGCCGCTAAGCTAAGCTTGAAGCTAAGCTGCTAAACTAAGCTTTAATCTAAGCTGCTAAGCTAAGCTAAACAGAATTGTCAGTCTTAAATAAATCAAATAGTTTAACCTGTAGGTTTCTAATCATTCTAATCAAGTCAAATAACTTTAATCTAAACTTGAGTGCAAAAGGATTTCAATAAAATTTCAATTTCAATTTCAACCTTTTCATCTTTTGAGATTCATTCTTTGGATTTCAATTCTTTGAGATCTTTGAGATCTCTGAGATCATTCATCAGATCAAAATAAATTCAGTTAAAGTTCAGTTAAAGTTCAGTTAAAGTTCAGTGAAAGTTTTTCAAAGAATAACGATTTTATCACAATTTCAGGAGAAGCTCTTCATCTTGCCCGTGATTTCACCTACGTTTGCAATGCGGAATTCCCAGCGGCCACTCTTGCCGATCACTCGCAACGATGGAATGAAGAGGATCGAGAACGACGAAGAGACACACTTCGAGCTGCCAAGTATACGCTTTAGCTTGGCTTTAAGAAAAATTATAACCAATTTTGGGCTTAGATCTTGAAACTGGAAGGATTGTAAATGGATTTCTAAACCGTAAACTTTAAACCTAAACCTAAACAGTCCATGTTTGGTGAATGCTCACGAAATAACGCTAGTCAGAGCCTGGCTGTTTCTAAATAAGAGTGCCACAATTTTTTTTGGACACTTTTTTGGACACTTTTTGTGTGTTCTTGCCAAAGCTTGTATTGACTTTAGAAATAGAAAATGTTTAGAACAATTCTTCGAGAGTTCACCGATTTGCTTCAAGCTGATCGATCACCGCTACAGAATCAGGTAAGGTTTAGTTTCAAAAAGGAGGAAAATAAATTTCCTGCAAATTCTTAAAGGATAGATTTTGGTTTTAGAATTTAGGCCTTATAATGGTCTAATGACCTTATAACTGAAAGTAAAGATGCCGTCACGGCCGAGTGGTTAGGAGTCTTGTATCCTAGTGGGCCAAGTGGTTAAGAGTCTTGTATCCTAGTCGGCCAAGTGGTTAAGAGTCTTGTATCCTAGTCGGCCAAGTGGTTAGGAGTCTTGTATCCTAGTCGGCCAAGTGGTTAGGAGTCTTGTATCCTAGTCGGCCAAGTGGTTAGGAGTCTTGTATCCTAGTCGGCCAAGTGGTTAGGAGTCTTGTATCCTAGTCGGCAAGTGGTTAGAGTCTTGTTCCTAGTCGGCCAAGTGGTTAGGAGTCTTGTATCCTAGTCGGCCAAGTGGTTAGGAGTCTTGTCTCCTAGTCGGCCGAGTGGTTAGGAGTCTTGTATCCTAGTCGGCCGAGTGGTTAGGAGTCTTGTATCCTAGTCGGGAGGTCACGGGTTCGATCCTAGTGGCAAGAAAACTTGACTCTTTTTCATGGGTTTTCCTCTGCAACATCTAGAGTAATAGGGCAGTAGGAATTGTGTTTTTTCTTGTGTTACATTACTCCTGTTGAATACTTTAGTAAAAAACTATTACCTTCCCTATTCCTTAAACTATTACGTGAATATTTTAGAGACCTGAACCGATTCTCGATGAAACCACACAGTCAGCGTTGACCGGCTTCTCGCTGTGCACTCACGGATTTGGGACACCAGCAGTTCTTGCTGCTATGAATTGCTTGCAAAAGTAAGTGAACACGATTTTTATTGGGCTCTGGTGGATATTGTTGCTTTGAAATCAATAATTCTTCAATAATAACTTTACAAAGGAAAGGCAACAGTAGGAAGTGGGCAAATGAGATCAGCCATACACCATTCGACGCAGAATTTCACACTGATTCCGAATCTGCTTTCCGTTTTTGCAAAAACGCTTTTTATAAAAAGATAGACGTGTTTTAAGTTTAGAGTTTAGTTTTAGAGTGAAAATACGAAAATGCTAAATTATGAAGCCGACTAGGGATGCGTTTATAATGGTTCTCTCACGGGTCCCGAACGTGACTTGATGGTGTAGTGGATAGGACGCTTGAATACGCTTGGAAAACTTTTCTTGGAATCTGTTCGAACGTCAAAAGTTCCCGTGAAAAGCTAGGAACCGAAAGTATCTTAAAAAGTATCTTAAATTTTCGCATTTTCACTCTAAAACTAAACTCTAAACTTAAAACACGTCGATCTTTTTAATAAAAGCGATTTTGCAAAAACGGAAAGCAAATTCGGAATCAGTCCCCTCTTCATCAATCCTTTTTCAGATACATCGCTGAAAGTCTCGATCGAGTGGCCGATCCCCCAAGCGCCGCTCCAACTCTCGTCACTCCCACCGCAATTCCAACTATGGTCCCCGGCATCGACACGGCTTCAATTCTTCAAGCCAACCACCCATTGGCGATGCTTCTCCACGCCGAGCTTCTAAAACTCAACAATTTCAGCAGCTTACAGAAATTCTAAGCCCTTTTTTGTTCTGATTCATTTCCCAGAGAACTTCAAAATCAAACCCAGAGACGCTTTCCCAAAAGCTTTCATTAACATTTTGGCTCTTTTTTTTTCTATCACTTAATAATTTAGAATCCCTAGATTTTCCTATATCCCAGTCCAATTATCCGGTGTGATTAATAAGAAAACGTTTTTCCTTTTTTCCTTTTTGAAATCTGAAAGTCACAACAGCTTCGATGGTCGCTTTTTCTTTTCAAATCCCGTTGATCGTTTTTTTTCACAAAGAATTTTAGTCTTACTTGACGGTGAATTGCTTGGTTGAGTGTTTTCGAGTGAATTGCTTATCAGAATTTCTCTTAAATCTTCTCTAGAAATTTGAAAGAACAGAACTTAGCTCGGAAACAAGTCGTACTTTGTGCCCTGAGAAACGTACGCTTTCTGGCACACTGAAGTTAATCGAGTGTGAGAGGAAACGCGCGTTTGCTCGAGTACAAAGTACGAGCCAAAGCGGAGCATAAACGCACCCTTTCTGGCACACTGTATCCGTATATTAGCCTCTGAAATTCGTTGGTCTGGTGGACTAAAGAGTTGAAGATTTTTGGATGATTTCAGTGTGCCGGAAGGACAATTTTTAGATAGAATTTGATCTGATAAGCAGTTTATTCAATTCTAATCACATCTATCTGCATATTAGTCCTTGAAATTAGTTAACTAACTTGAAAAGAACAAAATTGAAAACGAGATTAGAAAATTTTCGACTCATTTCTGTTCTTTTCAAGCTTTGGCATCTATTTGACGTTCTTGTACTGTATTTTTGGGGGAAAACAAATAGGAAACTAGTACTTTGTGCTCTGAGAAACGCTCTGAGAAACGCTAGAACACTGAATGATCGAGTGTGCCAGGAAGCGCGCGTTTACTACAGCTGCTAGAGCACAAAGTACGAGCCAAGCTATGGAGAGGATTCTCTAGCTTTCTAGAATCATTTTTTTTTACTGATAACTTGAAGCTTAGAGAGTATTTTGAACCAGATTAGAATCAGATTTGAACGAATTTAAGCCAGAAGTTGGAATTAAGGCAGATCAAAAACTTGGGTGGTGCCGGGATTCGAACCCGCGACCTTTCGCTTACCAGGCAACTGTGCTAACCGTTACACTACAACGCACTTGATCTCCCTTACTCCAGAGGGAGTTAACTATAGAAACGGTTGGACTTTGAGTTCTTGCAAACGCAAATCTTCTGGCTGATTGGGAGCCAGAGAGCGCCAGAAAGTGAGAGGGAGTGTCAGAAAGCGACAGAGAGCGCCAGTGAGCGCCAGTGAGCGCGAGAAAGCGCCAGAAATCGCCAGTAAGCGCCAGTAAGCGCCAGAAAGCGACAGAGAGTGCCAGGAAGCGCCAGAGAGCCAGAGAACGCCAGAGAGCGCCAGAGAGCGCCAAAGAGCGCGCGTTTCTCAGAGCACACAGTTTAAGGCCGAGATTGTTTTCTAGCTGCTAAACGCACGCTGTCTAGCGCACTGAGGTTAGCTCAACTTTTAATCGTCAACTTACCCAATTTTGACCTAACCAATTGCTTTTTTAAATCAATAAAGTTTACCGATTTAGTTACCCAATCTTTCCTTGCTTTTTCAAATCGAGATAAACTAATTTAGTTACGAAATCTCTTTCCCGTTTCCCCAAAATTACAGTACTTTTGTATATATCCGTGTACTTATAATAAGAAAAGAAAAAACTGACAATCAAAGAGAATTCTCACAAAAAAAAATTTCGAATTCAAAATTGTGATTGCCAGCTTTTTTTTAAAATATCGCTAGTTTTAGTTTATTTTTTTTGCTTTCGAAATTTCGCTTACGTCGCTTAATGTCAGGTTTTTGCATTTTTCATTTCAAAAATTTTCTACAAAACAAAACAATTACAAATTTTCAAAGTTTTATTCGATTTTTCGCCTTTCGCCTCTTTCTTATGCCCGTTTCGCTTTCTTTCCAAATCCCCGGCTGCTTTACAAAAGTATTTCGAACGTTTTTTCGAGTTTTTCCCTCTTCTTTCTTTCCATTAATCATTTTTCTCAAAAGAAAATAAAACCTTTGTTCAATTTTCGAAACAAAACTTTTCTGGGAAATTCGATTTGAGATAGCTTTGCCACAGGAACAAAAAACGGACATGAAAATATGAAAACATGAAAACATGAAAGAAAATGCATCTCAAATACCATTTTTTTTATCTAAAATGATTCGATTATCGTAGAATTGCTTTATATCTTTGTACTTTGTGTATGTTTAATGGAAACGCACTTCTTCTGATACATTAAAAAATTGCTTCTTGTGAAATCAACATGTTGCCGTAAGAAATGAGGAATCGAGTGTGCCAGAAAAGAATAGAATTAAACCAATCCAAGCAATCAATCCAAACAACCAATCCAAACAACCACTCCAAGCAACCACTCCAAGCAACCACTCCAAGCAACCAATCACAACATAGAAATAAATCGATAAATCCTAAACTATAATCATGGACAAAAGTCTTTTAACGTTGGTTTTTAGAAGTTTGTTCTTTGTATATCTTGATCCAAATCCGACCAATTTGCAAACGGTTAAAAGATTTAAAGAGCTTAAAGAGGTTAAAAGATAATAATCTCTAATTTTAACATTATAAAAAGATGGATTTGACAATTTATCAGGTGTCATCAACTTTTTAATAAAACAAAAATAAAATCTTTTAACCGTTTGCAAATTGGTCGGATTTGGATCAAGGTAAACAAAGAACAAACTTCTAAAAACCAACGTTAAAAGACTTTTGTCCATGACTGTATTAGGTTGGGGAGAAAGTCTTTGCCGATTTTTTGGAAGATGGTCTTAAACTTGTCCGATCTGGACGTTTAATAGCTCATTTGAAAGCTAATTTTCTAGCGGATTGGATAAAAAAATCGTTTTTAAATATATCAATTTTCAAAGTTTTTGCAGTCATTTTACTGGTGTCAGACCCGACATTTAAAAAAATGATTGTTTTTCGTTTTTTTGTACGGAAACCTAGGCTGAAATCATGTTTTTCGGAATCAGCGTTAAAAATTGCCCTAGAAAACGCAAAACTCGTTCTTTTAGTAAAATTTTTTCAAGAAACCTGTCGCGGGCCGGAGTCGAACCCTCGACCCTCAGGATCACCGCTTTCAGATCTCTAAAAAAGGAAAATTTGTTTCTTTTTTAGAAACAAGTCGATTATATTGTTTAATTGTTGTAAGAAATTATTTGTTTGTTTGGTTTCATTGTTGAATTTTCCTTTTTTCCTTTGAAAGCGGTGATCTGAGGGTCGAGGGTTCGACTCCGGCGAGCGACAGGTTTTTTGAAAAATTTTACTAAAAGAACGAGTTTTGCGTTTTCTAGGGTAATTTTCAACGCTGATCCCGAAAAACATGATTTCAGCCTCGGTTTCCGTACAAAAAAACGAATCCCTTTTTTAAATGTCGGGTCTGACACCAGTAAAAGGACTGCAAAAACTTTGAAAATTGATATATTTAAATGACAATGAAGTGCGCCCTCCATCAATTTTTTTTATCCAATGCACTTTGTACTTCGGCACTGATAATACAATCCGCCAACAGCACCGGAAATAGTCACAAGCACCTTTGATCCTTTTATTTTAAATTTCTATATCCTTGCCGACCCATCCCTCCACTCCAATACAAACTACACCATTCCTTTGTTTTCTCTTTTCTTCGGACAAGCCGCGCTACACAAAAAGTTTCAGTTTTGTTGAGAAGAAAGGATAGATTCAAGATTCAGTTCTACTTTTCAATGTGATCAAAGTTTTTTTCTTTAACTTTTAAATGATGTATTCCCCACCGCCAACTTTTTCAAAGCCAATGCCACCACCAAACATTGATCGAAGGAAATTGTATAAAAATTTTCTCTGCGGGATTTGCGATAAAATCATCAAGAAAGCGGCTATATTAAAGGTTGGTTTTTTTAATTAAAATCAACGGGGGTAGGACAAATGCGACCTTTTTTTGCGCACCTGGACATTTGCGTACCTTTTTTTTGCTGGAAAAGGCCTTAGGAAAGGTCTTAGAGCTTCAAAAATGTTTTCATAGAAGGGAATCGTATGCGTAGATTCCGAATTTCGACAAATCAGACCTCGCTGACACGTCAAATTTGGGCTAAAAGGCAAAAACTACGCAACTTAACGCTTTTCCGCAGTTTTTGCCTTTTAGCCCAAATTTGACGTGTCAGCGAGGTCTGATTTGTCGAAATTCGGAATCTATGCATACGATTCCCTTATATGGAAATATTTTCGAAGCTCTACGGCCTTGCCTAAGGCCTTTTCCAGCAAAAAAAAGGTGCGTAAATGTCCAGCTGCGCAAAAAAAAGGTTGCATTTGTTCCACCCCCAAAATCAACAAAATTAATTTGGTAAAACTGGATTTTGATCACAAAAAAAATCTTTTTCTTTAGATGTGTTCATGTCGTTTCTGTCATGCGTGCATTCTGGCAGCTTACAAATTGGGAGAAAAGACGTGTCCTCATCCTCATTGTACGCTCAAACCGAAGCCCCAATTGAGAAGTCCAGCCGACGTTCTCCTCAATCCACCGTTTGATCAACTCGTCACAATGGTAACTTTTGAATTTTGAATTTTTTAAAGCTTTAGCGGGAGTGGGACAAATGCGACCTTTTTTTTGCGCACCCGGACATTTGCGCACCTTTTTTTCCGCACCTTGCCCATTAGCGCACCTTTTTCGCGTTTTAAAAAAAGCTCTAAAAAGCTAATATTAACCAATTTCTATTCCAAAAGTTGTTTTTCTAGGTAATTTTAGGGTGTCGAATTCAAATTTTGACGTAACAGAGCGTGTGGAACCAATTTGAAAGACAAAACGGCTAGATCAAATTACAGAAATGGGATTGTGGATTTTTCTCTTTGTATAACTCCGTCCGTTTGTTTCCACAAGCTCTGATATGTCAAAATTTCGATTCTACGCCCTAAGATTACCTAGAAAAACAACTTTTGGAATAGAAATTGGTTAATATTAGCTTTTTAGAGCTTTTTTAAAACGCGAAAAAAGGTGCGCTAATGGGCAAGGTGCACAAATGTCCGGGTGCGCAAAAAAAGGTCGCATTTGTCCCACTCCCGCTTTAGCAACGAAATCTAAATAAAACAGTAAGTACAAGGTGACCAGAAATAGCCCATTCTAATCGTCCGTTCTAGGCTCATATTTCTGTTATTTGTAGGCGAAAATGATTCATTTCTTTTTTTAAATGAAAATTCACATCGCTTTCTGTATATGTTCAAGACTTCATGATGATAGCATCGATAGATAATTTTTTATGTACGCTTAAAAATGGCTGGTCAAAAAAAATAACAAAATAACAAATTTAGGGGTTCCTTTATCGATGATCTTATAGAAAATCTTAACGCATTTAATATTTTTTTAAACTAAATCCACTTAAACATAACACAAATTTAGCTTTTAGAAAAAAAACTGCAAAAGAAACATTATTTTGTGGGGTTTTTAAAAAAAAATCCAAATTTGAACTGCGACTCGTTATTTTTTGACCAACCATTTTTGAGCGTACATAAAAAATTATCTATCGATGCTATGACCATGAAATCTTGAGCATATACAGATAACGTTGTGAATTTTCATTTAAAGAAACAGAAATTAATCGTTTTCGTCTACAAATAACAGAAATATGAGCCTAGAACGGGCTAATGAGACGGATTATTTCTGGTAACTCTGTAACAGCAGCCATGTTAACTCCGCCCCTTTTTTCGGTCCGTTTTCCGTTGGCAATCTACGAATTTTGCTCGTATAAATTTGATTTCGAGTTCGAAGGCAAATTCAACGTTTTTCAAACAAACCCGGCTAAGATACGAGCAAAATACGGAGATTGCCAACAGAAAACGGATCGAAAAAGAGGCGGAGTTAACATGCCTGAGTAATAGTAAGTAAAATCTTGATCTTCAACAGTATTTAAATATTTAACAGTATTTAAAAGGTATTCAGTTCATTAGCTGAATATTTTACATCCATTGTACAATATTTTACGTACAAGCGTTTTCAGAATCTCTATTTCTAGGCTTTGCAAACTTTAGTTAAATCTATACTGTTCATTTTTCGCATATCCAACTGTTTCATTTTCAGTGTGGCTTCCAACCTCATCAATCCAAAGAGGATTTCCTTGGTGAGTTGAGGAATTTTTGAAATTAAAGATAAATTTGCGCTTAACCATTTAAAATTTTAGATTCTGCATCGCTTGCAAAACTTGCCTCTCAGAACGTTCAAAAAGTGATGGTGAACAGAAAAAGACCCTACGAGGCACCGCCGGATCTCATCTCGCCGAGAAAAGTGAGAAAATAATAAAAAGTTTTACTCTACAACCTAAATTTGACTCGATTTTAGGCTACTTTCAAACCATTTGACAATCAGCAGCTTCAACAACCAAAGAATTCGTTTGATCTCGAGAATTCATTATTGAAAGCTTTTATGACCAGAAGTTACTCTGTGGTGAGTGGGCTTGAGAATCAAAAAAAATTGAATTTTAGCAACCGATTCAATCAAGTTTTGCGAAAAACCGCTGGATTCTGGCTAAGCAGAGGCTGAGAGTAAGTTGAGCTTAATCTTTTAGAAATCAGAAAATTTACAGGAAAACGAAAACGGAGACCCTAGTGTGATGAAGAAAAGAGTGTTGGGAGCAATAAGTGATTCAGATGAAGAATCCGATATGGAATCGAATATTTCTGGATGTTCTTGGAAGGTTTGTAACAGGAAATTCTACTGACAGAGAGGATAATTCAATTACAAATTTTAGCGCCAAACGGAAGCAAACGAAAACGATCAAGAAGAGTCAGACATCAGGTTTGTGATAAAACTGTTATTCGATGAATTTTCAAATTTAGTGACTCGACCGAGTCTGAAATGGAAGTTGAAAGTGAAGAGCCGAAAGCTGAGGGACAAGAGAACGGGCCATCAACATCCCAAGAAGCAACTCAAGAAGTGCCCAAAGAAGCGACCGAGGATGAACGATTGGAGGAAGCTGCGAGAGAGATTTATCTGGTTAGTGTGAGAACATAAATCTACTTTTTCTTGTCAATTCCTTCACTTTTTTATAAAGCGTGTGTCTGGACTTTTCAACTGATCTAAACCATTCGAAACTACGGAAGAGCTGTGAGCCTTCTTTGATTGTCAGGGTTGTTCCAGGCTCTAGGACGAGCCAGTTCCAGAGCCCAATCAGAAGTGGTTTTTGGCGAGCTCCCGGGACTTTGTGACCGAGCCGGAAGTCGGGCTTGGCTTTGGTATTGCACAACCTTGGCTTTTTGAGACTGACTCGAGATTTTTAATGGATCTTTCCTAGCCACCAGAGTAAGGCATAAAATCCTATCCTAGCGGCAATGGAATACGTGTCGGAGTAGCTCATTGGTAGAGCGCGGTCGAATCCCGGCGCCGACCACGTTTTGTATTCCCAGCCCCAACCCATAAAAGGACCGGCGTGTCCAAATCAAATATTTTGAAAAAAAATTCAAGGTTGATAATGGTTTGATAATGGTTTTTGCAGGCCGAACAACAACGAATCCGGGCGATGGCCGAGTTGGATGACCCAAAGCATCCACTCATTTTATGGCCTGATATGAGATTGGAATTGAAGGAAATCAGTCGTCGACAGCTACACGCCCATTATCTCTTTGTTCCCAACTCGTGTACAAGTGGGTTTATGAATTTTTTGTAATTTTTAATTTATCATTTCAATCCAATTCAATTTTTCAGTGGAAACTCTCGGGAAATTCGTTCTACAGCGCCTTTTCCAGGAAGAGTATATCGATTTTGAGCAAGAGGAGGTAAAAATTCAGTTGAAAAACATTCACTTAATCATTAATGAAAATTTTTATGCTAATTGTTTAGTTAACAGTCACTTTTGTGCCGGTTGTTGAAGAGATCGAAGCAACAAATATTATCATTTTGAAAAGAGAACCAAAGCAAGGCGAAAACAATCAGGAAAAGGTTATATTTTGCTGAAATCTCTTCAAATAAATGTATTTAGTCAGAAGATCATGCAGTGACTCTGAAAATTGACAACCCTCATCAAGCGAGTGTGTTGATTTTCGATCCCTCAATGATGGTCACGAAGAAGTCGACAATGGCAGAGGTGAGAGTTGAAGCTTTGAAGAAGATAGAGAGTAAACGCCTGGTATCTTGATTTCGAGTAAAAATGAAGGCTTGGCTGCACCAGAAAAGGGGTGTTTACTTGCTTGAGAGGACAAAGTACACTTCGAAGACTTGGACTAGGATTTTGAATATTGTGAGCATAAAATAAACCAAGTAAAGCGATGGCTTTATACAAACTTTTGAGTAACATTTAAATTTGATATAGTTTGACTAAAGTACGGTGCAAATACAGTAAACTCCAACTCTAACAGTTATTTTTCTAAACTTTTCCCTAATTACCGTAAATATTCTAAAAGAAGAGCCGCCTATAGGAGCGTCGCGTAGTCTAAGTTTGCTCCCAAACTCCCAACGCTTATATCTCGGCACCAGTACGTTTGTTTTTATGCGCTTAGGCATCAAATTAAAGTAGAGAGGATGGGGTTTTTTTTTTTGAGATATAACACATATTTTTAGCATTAACCAGCGCTTAGAAAAAATGATTGAAGAGTGGGAAAAAAACCGATTTTTCATCATTTTTCAATCATTTTGTTCTAAGCGCTGGTTAATGCTAAAAATATGTGTTATATCTCAAAAAAAACCCCATCCTCTCTACTTTAATTTGATGCCTAAGCGCATAAAAACAAACGTACTGGTGCCGAGATATAAGCGTCTGTTTGAGTGTAAACGACGTGACTTTCCTATAGAGGGCTCTTCTACAGGGTGTCTCAAAATTATCCGGACAACTTTTTGGAAAAGTTGCTTTCGCAAGCTTAATTTATTTCAAAATCTCAAGTGTTATGTAGAGAATTGTAGCCCTTAATCTTGGTTACATTTGTCTACTAAAAACTTCCCAATCGGATTTATGTAGCTCATTTTACAAGCGCTTGAATGAGCACTAGTCGATCCCGATCCGACGTGCTGCCATTTTTGACGATTTTCTACATGAAAAACTATGAAATTAAAAAAATTAACCATTTCATTTAGCTCATTTTTTAGGCAAATTTGAGTCCGCTTTGAAGCAAATCCGAACGGGAATTCTTGTTTTTCGAAAATAGACATAGAGTGAAAACGGCTTGGTTAATGGAATATTATGAAAATTTATCTATCTGCCTAACTTTGCATCTTTTGTCTTTTGGCACTAAAAGGTTTCTGTGTTCTGTGACAAAAAGGGCTCAAATCAGACTTTGAGTTTCATCATTTCACTGCTCTAATTCACACCTTTCAAAAAACTAAATAACGCGGGCTTTTCAGAACGCGGGCTTTAAGGACAATTTGTAAATAAATAATAGATAGTTCTGATAAAACAAACCATAGAACGATGGGTTCATTATTCATTTCAAAAAATAACCTTTAAAAAAGCGAACAAGACTTTCCGGCAAACTTGATATTTTCAGGTGCGAGCCGTCGTCTGGAAAGATCACTCGAAACCGATGAAACTCATCTATCAAATCAAATTGAAGTCGTCAGAGAAGAGTCCATTCACATCAGCTGAAAGTCCTCTACACACACCGATCACTACCGAAGCTCCCGCAGCTACCACTCCAACCTCGTCCACCAACACTTCAACCCCCAGTGATCCTGCTCCCTCAACTCCCAAAGAAATTCAACCATTCACTTTGCCGATGAAACACAATTCCAACAATCTAACACAAGTTCCTGTTCCAATGTTGAAGAATGAAGCACCTAAACCCATACAACTCATTGAGCCAAAGCCATTCACTTTGACAACTCTTCCAGCTCCATTTGTACCCCCACAAATCCCTCCTCCAATCCTACCCAGTGGAATGAGATCCTATCCATTCCCTCCACTCACTTCACCCCTACCAACTGCTCCACTGATTCTACCAAATCGTCCAAATATCCCTTTCCTGGCTGCTTCAAATATGGCCAATTCATCGATTGAACAATTGAACAGTCATCAACATTCAATTACCCCACAAGCGATCCCACAAAATTCGCCGTCTGATCCAAGAGTAGAGATTGGTGGGAATGATGGGGACTGTGATGGGATGCCGACGTTGGAGTAAGTTTCGGAAAAATTTTAGTTCTTCTTTGTCTTTGAATTTTTTTTCGCACTAGACGAGTTTAAGTTTGTAGGGTCTAATGAGTGAAAAGTGAAGAGAAAAAATTGAACTCAAAAACAAACATCTTTTAGCTTATACGGCCAAACTTAATCAAAATTTCAGTCCCGAGATCTGACAATGAAGTGCGCCCTCCATCAAGTTACAGTCATTCTTCATTACAATTTCTGATTATTTTTCTGGCACGTGTATATTTTTGGGCATAAAACTGGTTTCTACTAAACTATTAAACTGGTTTCTAATAAATTTTATTGTCAGATGTCTTTAAATCTGTTAAACTGCACTTTGAAGGGGAAAATTTTTCAGAAATCGGTCCAAATTACCGACTAGGGACGACTGGAGTAAGAATCGACTGTCACTGATACAATAGATCTAGAATTTGTAGCAAACATACAGCTTAATTAAAGGCAAAAATTGATCCCAGAAATTTGGGCATAACGACGCCCAAATTCCTGTTCCAATGGTGCAGAATGAAGCACCTAAACCCATACAACTCATCGAGCCAAAGCCATTCACTTCGACAACTCTTCCAGCTCCATTTGTATCCCCACAAATCCCTTCTCAAACGGCCAACTGGCTCAGTCGTTGACCGCTCTTTTTCGAGAAAGGCAAGCCCCTTATGCCAGATGGGTTTGCCGGATGTTGAGCGATTACGCGCCCGCACAAAGAACACCTGCGTCGGTTAAGCAATGATTTCTCTTTTGCTTTGTAGACGGCCGTAAATAGAGCTGTTGTATAGAGCTTGTAGCTGCTCCGAGGGTTTTCCGGGTCAAGGAATCGATTGGCGCTATTCACTTTATTAAATCTACCAATCTTGTCTCGATTTTCTTCAGCCAATTACTGCTTTTTTTTCAAAAGTTTCCTTTAATTTAATCTTTTTCAAAGTTTAACTTATCTATGTACTTGTACTCATTTTTTATGTACTTTTTTATATATTTTTTATGTGCTTTTGTTTCCTTTTTTGATTTGATCGAAATTTGATAGAATTTTTATTAATTTCTACTTTGTCAATGACTGAATTTCAATGAATTTCAAATGTCAATGACAATGAAAAGAGCGGCAGTCGATCGACTATTGCAAACAACGGATAAGGCACTTCGAGATGTCGAAAATGGGAAAAAGATTAGAAAGAAAAAAAAACAAAAAAAACAATGCACCTAATGCACTATCCTAGTTTTTCGCAAAAAAAGAGAAGAAATTCTAACAAAAAAAAAAGAACGCTGACTAACAAGAGTGACCTGTATTTGACCGCAAAAGAAATGTCTAGGAGAGAAATTCGCAAAAGTGACACCGGGCAGTTTTATTAAGGCTAACACTAAACACCTGATTGAAGAATTTGAAGAATTTGTTATATCGAAAGAAAAAAAAGATAAAGCTGATGAAAAGCTGCATAATAAAAAACCGTTTTTGAGCAGAGTGAACGAGGAAAAAAAAAGGCGACTTTTAGAATTAAAAAAACCCGTTCGATAAAGCTCTCGGTTGTCATAATGTACAGAATGGAGGGAAATTGGGACGATGACTAGAAGTTGATGAGATGTTTGGTGACCAGATGATGAGTAGCGATGATGAGAAGTTTTTGTGGAGAAATGAGAAGCAATCATTTCTTGATCAGACGAGCATAGAAGATGGCGAACACGGCGGGAATGCCCTGAAAAGGAAAGTGATTTATGGAGTACTTCAAAGTCTAGGATTCTAGTCTAGAAGCGATTATTTGAGAATAAAATTTGATTCTAGAAACAAATTTTTAGCCTAGGCAAGGCCAGGCAAGGCCAGGCAAGGCCAGGCAAGGCCAGGCAAGGCCAGGCAAGGCCAGGCAAGGCCAGGCAAGGCCAGGCAAGGCCAGGCAAGGCCAGGCAAGGCCAGGCAAGGCCAGGGCCAGGCAAGGCCAGGCAAGGGCCAGGCAAGGCCAGGCAAGGCCAGGCAAGGCCAGGCAAGGCCAGGCAAGGCCAGGCAAGGCCAGGCAAGGCCAGGCAAGGCCAGGCAAGGCCAGGCAAGGCCAGGCAAGGCCAGGCAAGGCCAGGCAAGGCCAGGCAAGGCCAGGCAAGGCCAGGCAAGGCCAGGCAAGGCCAGGCAAGGCCAGGCAATGCTAGACAAGGCCAGGCAATGCTAGACAAGGCCAGGCAATGCTAGACAAGGCCAGGCAATGCTAGACATAGGAAAATTTCAAGCCGAACCTAATTCAAAATACCCGGAAACTACGCAAGAGCCGAAAATTCCAAGCCGAACCTAATTCCACCATCGTTTTCTCAGCCGTTTCTTGTCCAATTGCTCCGAAATTTTGTCTACAGATAGAAATCGAAATTTTCAGCTTGTAGACAAAATTTCAGAGCAATTGGACAAGAAACGGCCGAGAAAACGATGGTGGAATTAGGTTCGGCTTGGAATTTTCGGCTCTTGCGTAGTTTCCGGGTATTTTGAAAGGGTTGTCAAACTTTGAAGGCCTATAACTTTCTCCAGAGATCATATTTCTGTTAACTTTTTGTATCATTATACAGAGCACGTTTCAGGCTTTTAAATGATACCAAATGAAGCTTGATTGGATTTTTCATTCTCCTGCAAACAAGGCGACAAGACCCCCAAGTTGGATTGACCTCATTTGCTCAGGGTTGGCTCTGATTTTCTTCGACTGGAGAATCTAATCAGCTCTATTGGGTATTATTTTAAAGCCTGAAATATGCTCTGTCCAATGATATAAAAAGTTAGTAAAAATATAATCTCTGGACAAAGTTATAAGCCTTTAAAGCACGACGACCCGTTCAAGACCCGGGTTCTTTCAAAATACCCGGAAACTAGGCCATATTCATAGCCACACCTATTGGGGTCTTTAAAGAAAAGACTAGTTCTAAGGGCAATTTCTAGGCTAGACCAGAGCAAGACAACCGTACTCACAACATGGTCAGTCATTTTCAGCCATACTCGTGCTTTGCTTTTCATAAAAAGCAGGACCGGGTCATTTTTCGTATTGTCAATGATTTACCTGAATAGGAAAAGAAAAACTGGCTATACTAGGAAAGATGTGTTTCTAGCTTTGAGCACAAAGTACAGAGTGACCGCGAATTATAGCGACAACTGGAAAACTTGCTGGGAAATGTCTAATTTCTTCCAAAGGTGTCAAGTGTTATATAGAGAATTGTAGCCCTTAATCTTGGCTACATTTATCTACCAACAACCTCTTGATTCGACTTATACAACTCATTTTACGAGTGCTTGAATGAGCGCCAGTCGACATCTCTTCGGTGATTTTCAAACGGGCTTATGGAAAAGTTTAAAGAAAAATAAAAGGCCTGAAAAGCCAATGTTAAAGCTTAAGCTATGAATATCTTCATTTAGAATTAATCAAAGAAAAAAGCCATAGAAATTTACCTGAACAACACTGCTAACAACGAGCATCCAAGCCGCCACATCGACCACATTCAACAGATCCGCTTTCAATGGTTCATAGCATGTGCTCGTGTACAGAAATTTGAATCCTGTTGAGGAATTCGTGGCTGAGCCGTTCGCTTCTTGGATACACGAGTTGTAATCACCCGGATAACAACTGAAAAAGCGGTGATTGTCAAAGAGAGTTGCAAAGAGATGCGCACAAAAATCTCACCACGAGTATGGGATGGGTATCTTTTGTGTCCTCTGATGCATATACCATTTTGATGTCCTCCAGATCATATAGTCATCTGTTCCATTCACTCCACAACAACGAAACTGAAAACTTATTGCTTTAGCCTTTGGTCTTTGCTCGTTAGCCTTTGGTCGTTAGCCTTTGGTCGTTAGCCTTTGGTCGTTAGCCTTTGGTCGTTAGCCTTTGGTCGTTAGCCTTTGGTCTTTAAGATCCAGTTGTTCCAATTGTTCCAATGAGCTCTAGGGATTTGTAAGCCAGGTCAGGAGATGGCCTCAAACCAAACCCAAACCAAACCAAACCAAACCTTAGCGAATTCAAAAGCTTTTTGTTTTAAGATGAATTCTGGAAAAACTAGCCATACCAACAATTACTGTAAACATTCTAATAGAGCCGGCTCTTCTATTGGAGCTCTTCTATTGGAGCTCTTCTATTCTATGGAGCAAAGCCAGGAGGATGGCTCAGAAAATGGCTTTAAAAAACCCTGGTTTAGTCAGACGATGCTTCGATTAGCTAGATGGCAAAAAGCTAACCCAACACAGAGATTTTGATTGAATAATTTACACACTTACATTTATCTGCAACTCATCCCAAGCTTCTTTCACTTTTCCCATCTCAGGCGCTCCATAGAGTTCTCGCAGTGACGTTGACATCTTCAAATCGAGAGGAATCTCGACTGTCAACTAAAAAGGATTTGTGCTTTTGTGCAGGCTAATAATAAAGTAAAACAAGGAATGGTAAAGATTTCCGGAGAAGGGTTTAAACCCTCAATCTTGCTCCGGGCAAATGCTCTAACCACTAAGCTATCCGGTATCTTCTTGGCACAGAAGAAAGACGGAATACAAGGGAAAGAGAAAAAAAGTTGTCTTTTACCGGAGAAGCTGCAATAATCTTCTAAAGTTTCGAGTTTGTAAATGACGTAAGTTGAATGGATTATCTAAAACTATAGCTCACCTTATTGCAAAAGACGAATCCCATAATGCCGCCGAGGAAAAGCATCACAAATGTCACCAACGAGGCGATTCCATACTAAAGAGACCACATAGGGCAGTTGGATAAAGCTTAGGCTCAGGCTTAGGCTTAGGCTTAGGCTTAGGCTTGGCTCAGGCTTAGGCTTAGGCTTGGCTCAGGCTTAGGCTTAGGCTTGGCTCAGGCTTAGGCTTGGTTCAAGCTTAGGCTTAGGCTCAGGCTTGGCTCAGGCTTAGGCTCATGCTTAGGCTCAGGTTTAGGCTTAGGCTTAGGTTTAGGCTTAGGCTTAGGCTTAGGCTTAGGCTTAGGGTTAGGCTGACGAATTCAATCGGGAACATTTTGTGGTTTATCTACTCGATAAACCTCAAGAGCCGGCTGTCTAATAGAAGAGGTTGAGTCTAATCTGTAGAGAGTTTAAGCTAAAGAATCGTGTATTATTCGACTACGGTACCTTTTTGTCGAGTCAGATTTTAGAAAACGCAATCCAGAAACACACAGCTTAATAACAATTACCACCCTTCTTTCCATACCAACAATTACTGTAAACATTCTAATAGAGCCGGCTCTTCTATTGGAGCTCTTCTATTCTATTTTTCAATGTCCCTCTCAAATTCTTTTTCATCCAGTATCCCGAAATTTTCAAGATTTGTGTTTTTAGGTGTGTTTACGGGATTTTCATCCGGTTTAGATGTGATTAAGCTTTTTAAAATTTAACTATTTAAAGTCTATAGCTATTTAAGTCTTTAAAAAGTTAAAAAGCCTTGTTTAAGCCTTTGAAAGTCTTTAAAAAGTTGAGCATTTGGCTATCTGAGAGTTGACAAATTTGGAAAAATGAAAAATTTTGACTAATTTTGACTAAAGTGGCTTTTCTATTGGAGAGAGCCATTCAATCGGAATAAAGTGGTAATATTCGATCGGTAATCCCATTAGAAACTCACAAAATAGATTCCGCAACGAAGCTCGTTTGCAAGGGCGTAGATGGCATAAATGGAGAAGATCATGCTGATGATCGAGACGACGATCATTATCCTCCCCACATCCACATATAACTAAATACTTTCTTTACTTTGATTACTTTGTCGTACGATTATGATCAGTTTTAGCACAATTTAGATATTCTTACAAGTTTTGAAGAGTCAGCAGCACCTCTAGAACTACAGGGTAACCGGCGAATACAACGACAGTGACAACTTTCTGGAAAGCTCTGGCAAATGCTTACCTTATTTTAGAAGTGCTAAGTGTTATATAGGGAATTGTAGCCCTAACTCTTGGAAACATTTATCTACCAACAACTTCTTGATTCGACTTATACAACTCATTTTACGAGTGCTTGAATGAGCGCTAGTCGACATCTCGCAAATCTGTCATTTGGCTGCTTTTCTACCTTAAAAATTTCATTCGGAAAAGTTTTTTTAGTTAAACTTGTCGTATTTTTGGCTAAAGAGGTTGTTTTTTGACAAATTTATACTGCTAGAATAGCTAATATATAAATTGAATCTCGAACATACTGAATTTCCACTTTTTCTCCCTGCTTCTCCAAAAGGAGCTTGATATCAACTTAAATTTTGGTTATACCAGTTCAGACAAAACAGTTAAGTGTGTTTCTTATTGTTATTAAGTGTTGCTAAACGCTATTTTTGCATTGAAAAGCTTTTCTTAACAATTTTCAGCAGAGAAAAGCGGCCAAATGACAAATCCGCCGAAAAGATGTCGACTGGCGCTCATTTAAGCGCTTGTAAAATGAGTTGCATAAATCCGATTGGGAAGCTTTTGGTAGATAAATGTAGCCAAGATTAAGGGCTACAATTCTCTATATAACACTTGTTACTTCTAAAATAAGTTAGGTATTTCGCAGCTACTTTTCCAAAAAGTTGTTGCTATACTTTGCGATCACCCTTTACTTGTTTATACTTGTATAAACAAGTAAAGGTACGGTATTGTGTAATTGATAAGGTACTGACAGAATCTACGGTACACAGTGAGTACAGTACACAATACAGTACAGTACAGCACACAATACAGTACAGTACAGGACACATGCAACTTGCAGAGATGTCGACTGGCGCTCATTCAAGCGCTTGTTAAATGAGTTGTATAAGTCGAATCAAGAAGCTTTTGATAGATAAACGTAGCCAAGATTAAGGGCTACAATTCTCTATATAACACTTGACACTTTTGGAAGAAATTAGACATTTCCCAGCAAGTTTTCCAAAAAGTTGTCGCTATAATTCGCGGTCACCAGTATTTCTGTTACCGTCTCTTTCATTGATTGGAAAAAGGATTGATTGATTGAAAAAAGTTTGATGTCATATGTCAAAAATTTCAATTTTTGATTTCTGTCCTTAAAAGAGATCTCTGTGAATCGATTTCGATCAAAGTTTCGATATTTCCAGAACCCAATTATCTCAGCGAAATCACGCAGATCAATTCTCAACAAATTTCATTTTCCACTCAAATATTGAGGGAGATCTGTTTCTTTGAAAAATGCGAAAGAAAAAAGGGGGGAAAAGGGGGAGACTAACTTGACTTATGTATTTCAAAAAGCGATGAATTTCTTTGTCTCTCGGCGAGTCAGCCGTTTTGCCCGTCGTCGTGTGTTTGGGACGCTTATTGTGTTTGGGGCGACGAGAGCTTCAAGGTCATCTCCTCCCTTTTTTTCTCTTTTCTCTTTTCTCTTTTCTCTCCCTCCCCTTTTCTCTATCAAAAACAAATCTTCAACACAACACAAACTGCTGAAAAATCGACTAATTTACGAGGCTTTTTCGCGAGAGAGAAAAGAGGGGAAAAGCTTTGAGAAAAGATTGATCCAATCGTCTCAAAGACGATCGATTAAAATATTCCCATCAAATTGTAGATTATCTAATTGTAGATTATTTGAAATAATTTAAATATTAGACTTTCTCATCAAATTTGATTCGTTTTGTTAATCAAATTTGATTAACACTTCTACAGGGTGCGTCATAATTATTGCAACAAGAGTTCAAAGACCGTTTCTGATGTCAAGAATGTGATGTCAAGAATGTGATGTCATGGGCGTGTAAAGCCAATAAGAATCAAAATTGGACCTTCATGCAAGATGGAGCTCCCGCTCACACGAAGAAGACGGTTCAGGACTGGTGTGTGGCCAACTTTCCCTCAGTGATCACCAAGGATGAATGGCCTCCAAACTCACCGGATCTCAATGTGATGGACTTTTCCATTTGGGCAATCTTAGAGGCTAATGTCTGCTCTCGAAAACACACAAGTTTGGATTCTTTGAAGAAGTCTTTGACCTTGAGGAAGTCTTTGACCAAATGATGGAAGGCGACTCCTCAAGATGACATTCGGGCCGCAGTGGAGGCATATCCGAACCGATTAAGGGCTGTTATCAAGGCAAAAGGCGGTCATATCGAATGATCTCTTGTTTCCTTATTTGTTACTGTTAAATAAAGCTATTTCTGTTTAAAAATCTTCTTCCAGTGAAACTTCTTGGTGTGCAATGTCTTGAGTATCTTGTTGCAATAATTACGCACGCACCCTGTACTGAGTCAAAACTGACTTTATCACTTCTACTGAGTCAAAACTGACTTTACCACTCAACTTTTAGAGTAATACTCTCTTTCTTAATGGAATCTGCCTATTTATGAGGCAGATTTCTGCCCAAGAGCCAGATTTCTGCCTAAGAGCCAGAAATTTCACTAATCTGCTCTTCACGAGTCATTTCGAAAGCATTAGATTTCGAAATAACTCGTAAAGTTGTATCCCGAGCTCACGAGTAATGAAAAAGCATACTTACCGTATTTCTTCGAATAGAAGACCGGGTAAAGAGTATCATCGCGTACTCCTGCGTAGTAGCCCTTTTAAAATTTATTTTCTGCATAAAAGCTTTCAATGAAGTGCTATAGAGCTGGAAAATGGCTCAAAAATACCACATGAGCTAACAGATTTTTGAGCCATTTTTGCAGCTCTATAGCACTTCATTGAAAGCTTTTATGCAGAAAAGAAACTTTAAAAAGGGCTGCTACGCAGGAGTACGCGATGATACTCTTACCCGGTCTCCTATTCGAAGAAATACGGTAGTTCCGATAGATTTCTTGACCCCAAAAACCGCCGAGTACAAATTTACAGCTGAATATCCTTTTGTAACATCTACAATCTCTATCTAATAGTGACTGCGAAGTGTTCTTTGTGTCTCCAATCGCTCTCCATCTGGCAAACCCCCCTCAGAATAAGGGGCTTCCCTTTTGGATTTTGTAAAGGAAAAGGATGGGTGAGCTGAGGATGGGTGATGCCCCCGAATGCTCGTTCCTCCTTGTCAAATTTCCTCGTCGAACCGTTGACCCAAATTTGGCTCTATTTCTCCCCACAAATCTCAAATTTCAATTTGTAGTTGCCATTTCAGAGTTCTGACAAAATCAGGTTAACCTGTGTCAGGTTAATCAGGTTAACCCTTGTCCTACAAAGTCCAGCCTAATCTTACGCCAATTACTTGATTTTAAATCTGTTTTAAATCTGTTTTAACTCTATTTTAACTCTATTTTAACTCTATTTTAACTCTGTTTTAACTCTATTTTAACCTATTTTAACTCTATTTTAACTCTATTTTAAATCTATTGCCAATTACTTGATTTAAATCTTTAAATATGTTTAAATATATTTAAATTTAAATCTAAACCTGAATAGTAACAGCTTTTAAACACTAAGCATCTTTTTTGAAATATCTTTAAGCAATTGATTGAAGCAATTGATTGAAGCAATTGATTGAAGCAATTGATTGAAGCAATTGATTGAAGCAATTGATTGAAGCAATTGATTGAAGCAATTGATTGAAGCAATTGATTGAAGCAATTGTTGAAGCAATTGTTGAAGCAATTGATTGAAGCAATTGATTGAAGCAATTGATTGAAGCAATTGATTGAAGCAATTGATTGAAGCAATTGATTCTTGATCATTGTTTTCTTGCTGCATTTTTGGGTAATTGAGTCATTGAATTCAATCATTTAAACTATAGAACATTGAACAAAGCGAATCTTTGATTTAACTAGCAAGTAGATCTTTTTGGAACAGCAAAACGGTATGGCAAGTATGAAAAAAAGATTGTGGGATATTTGAGCTCAAATTTCTTGGTGTTGGGTTGTCCAATTGAACTCTTCTTGGTGTCATTAGATGCGTCAAGCCTTTCTCTATTGATTGGTACAAAAACTATTTAAATTGGACAGCTCAACACCGAGATATTTGAGCTCAAAGTTGGATTGCCAATGGCAAAGGAGGTGGGGTAAACCTTTAACCTGTGAAACCTTTTATACGCGCTCCGCCCCCTTTTGCCATTGGCAATCCAACTTCGAACTGAAATTTCTTGGTGTTGGGCTGTTCATTTTAAATAGTTTTTGTATCAATCGACAGAGAAAGACTTGGCAAATCCAGTGATACCAGGAATATTTCAATTGGACAGCCCAATACCAAGAAATTTGAGCTGAAAGTTAGATTGTCAATGGCAAAAGGGGCGGGGCGTGTATCAAATGTCTGATAACCTAAAGAAACGACTCACCGATGGCTCTAGCAGCTCTGCATATTGGGATCGATTGTGGACCAACCAGGCACCATATGAGAGACAGGCGATTGAGAAAAACTGAAAGGGAATTTGGTTTTGGAGAAGTTTAAGCCAAGAATTCCGATTTTCGGATGGATTGAAACACTTTGGGTGCTTCGGAAAAACAAATACCACAATCCGACTTTTTTTTTGGATGAGTTTATCATTCGGTAACGATTTGAGGGCACAAAGATTTTAACATGTTAAATATTTTCAAAAATCAATGGAGTTATAGTATCTTTTTGCCAGAGGATCTGATAGAAAACGTTAACCAGTGCATACGCAACCAACTCACTAATACGGTTCCAATACGGTTCCTATTTTGATCTAATACGTTTCCAATACGGTTCCAATACGGTTCTAATACGGTTCCTATTTTGATCTAATACGGTTCCAATACGGTTCCTATTTTGATCCAATGTTCCAAGAGGGTTCCTATTTTGGTCTAATACGGTTCCAATACGGCTCTAATACGGTTCCTATTTTGATCTAATACGGCTCCAATACGGTTCCTATTTTGATCTAATACGGTTCCAATACGGTTCCTATTTTGATCCAATACGGTTCCAATACGGTTCCTATTTTGATCCAATACGGTTCCAATACGGTTCCAATACGGTTCCTATTTTGATCCAATACGGTTCCAATACGGTTCCAATAGGGTTCCAATACGGTTCCAATAGGGTTCCAATACGGTTCCTATTTTGATCTAATACGGTTCCAATACGGTTCCTATTTTGATCCAATGTTCCAAGAGGGTTCCTATTTTGGTCTAATACGGTTCCAATACGGCTCTAATACGGTTCCTATTTTGATCTAATAAAGTATCTGAAAGGCTAAAAAGTGTATAGTGTAAGTTTCAATTGTTCTTATCATGGGATTACGGTATCCTTTCGATTTTATAGAAAACAGTAGAAGAATCAAATGAGACTCACAATTGTTAATGCATCAGAAAGATAGAATAATCTCCTCGTTATTCGACCCGTTTGACCGTAGGGTGACCACGGGCCATACAGGCCCATTTGCAGGTACAGTCTCTGCAAATGATTGATTGATCTGGAAATTGTGAGAAATACATCAATGAGCATTCATTGCGATAATAGAAAAGAAAAAAAACAGCACCGGAAATGGTGAGATCAATTTGTTTTTCATTGTTTTGGTGGTGGTGAAGAAGGAAAAGTGATTGTGAAGGGAATGAAGCGTGGAAGCGGGAAGGAAATTTAAGAAAATGTAAATCATAGATAAAAAGGCTCAGGCTTGCTCTAACGATAAATATTTGATTTAAAAGAAAAAAAAATTGATTCAATAAGTAGGATAAAAAAATGGATTCATTCAACAATTCAAAAAGAATGAGTAGAAAATGATGACTGAAAAAAAGTGGAAAGGAGTTAAAAGATCATGATTGAGAAAGAGATTTACAAGAAATAAAAAAGTGATTCATTCTATATGTTACGACCGATCTAGAAAGCCGTCCGATCTAGAAACCGTCCGATCTAGAAGTCCGTCAGATCTAGAAATCCGTTCGATCTAGAAAGCCGTCTGATCTAGAAGTCCGTCAGATCTAGAAATCCGTCAGATCTAGAAATCCGTTCGATCTAGAAAGCCGTTCGATCTAGAAGTCCGTTCGATCTAGAAGTCCGTCAGATCTAGAAATCCGTTCGATCTAGAAAGCCGTTCGATTTAGAAAGCCGTCCGATCTAGAAATCCTTTCGATCTAGAAAGTCGTCAGATCTAGAAGTCCGTCAGATCTAGACCGATTCTAGATCGGACGTCTAGAGTGAAGGTGAGTTCAAACGTCCGATCTAGAATCAAGCTGATCACTCTAAATCTAAGCCTGGATCAGCCGTCTGATTTAGAGTGATTGGCTTGATTCTAGAACGGATGTTTGATCTTCCTCCACTCTAGATTGGACGTTCGATCATGGAAAAAGATCTAAATCGGAGGGTTTTCTAGAGCGGACGTAACATAGATTCTATATTCATTCTATTAATTTTTATAGTAATGAAACCTTCAGAAAGGACTTTTTCAAAATAATCCATTTTGAACTTAAAACTGATAATTTTTCACTGATCTTTCAACATTTTTGATGTGAAATCGATCATTGTACGAGTTCAAAACGTTAAAAATTCAATGGGTTCAAAGGGTTCAATGGATTTAGAACGTTTAAAAGTTTCAATGGATTTAAAAGGTCAAAAATTCAATGATTTGCAAAATTCAATCAATAGTTCAAAGGTTTAAACGTAGTTTAAAGCATGGCATTAATATTTTCAAAATTAGCTCAATAATTCTTGTTAAAGTTGTCTAGGACTGAAGCTGGAGATGAGATAGAGATGAGATAAAAGGTTTTAAAATAAAACCCGTTGAATTTTAGTTTATTTTCGGTTTTTTAAAAGCTTGAAAAGGTTACAAAGATAAAAGTCTACAAATCAATAAAACAAAAGCTGAAAAACTTTAAGGAAATTGAAGGGAAACGAGTCGAAACGGGTATCGAGTACAAGTTGGTGACACTTGTAGAAAAAGAGTTAAAGAGAGCGTGGGAAATTCTCCTTTTTTTCACCTAAGAAGGGTCAATCAGGCGTGATTGTTTCGTTTTCGAAATGAACTCTCAAAAATGGCGAACCCCTCTAGGCGATTCAAGGTCAAAGTTCTTGCTTTAGCAACGCTCTGATTGCATGTCTGATTGCAAAATTGGGTCTAGAGGTGAAACAAAGAAAGGGTCAGAATTGAAATATGTTCAACACGAAATTGATTGATAAAATCGACTTTGAACTTTGAAATAAAGTTGGTCAATGGAAAAATCCCTTTCTGGAAATCTTTCTTTGCCATTCGTTACTTTACTTTATTTCTAATGACTGTTCTGATCTTCAAGTAGGGCGGGATGTAGCCACGGATGACCAAGTAGCCTTCAAAGTAGCCACGGATGACCAAGTAGCCTTCAAATAGCCACGGATGACCAAGTTTGGCTGAAAGCGAAATTGAATCCACGAGCAAAAATCAAAAGTTTCTTAGACTAGCGTACTATCCCCTAGACTACAGCCGTTCTTCTTTCCGGGCCGCTTGGCGTCCCCTTAAACTGTCACCTCGTCTATAAGGAAGTCTCGTCCAAGCGGCAAGAAAAGAAGAGCGGCGGTAGCCTACGGGATAGTGTGCTAGTCTGTGAAACTATGCCATTTTTGCTGGCGGGTTCAATTCCGCTCCCAGCCAAACTCTGTTGCTTTTTTTCCTGAAATTCCTTCTTTCTCTTCCCCCTTATATTTCCTCTTTCTTTGGCAAGAAGTTACCGAGTAGCTCAGTGGTTAGAGCATCTACCCGGAAAGCAAGCAGGCAAGCAAAGAAATCAGGAAAGCCCGGGTTCAATACCCTCTCCAGAAACCTTTCTTTGCCATTCCTTGCTTTATTGCATTCAAAACTGTCCGAGAAAAGTCACTCGGACTAAGTTCCCCTCGGGTTTTCGAAAGCACAAGTCCGAAAACTAACGGAATCATCGGCTACACTTTTTCGGATACATTTATCATTTATATTCAAAAGTAAACCATATGGAAAGAACCTTTACAGGTTAACTTTTTAACAAACGGAGTGACAAAGCTTTAAGGGCAGTCTATATTAGTTAGGCTAAAGTTCGGCCAAGTCAGGTCCAGCTCAGAGAATCTGACTAGATCGGACTTTTTGTGAGCTTAACTTGCAGTAAAGCCAGACGAGAAGCTGGATTGAACTGGGTTCTGACCTTGTCGGACCTGTCAGCAAGGATTGAACTGGGTTCTGACCTTGTCGGATCTGTCAGCAAGGATTGAACTGGGTTCTGACCTTGTCGGACCTGATCCGAACAACCTTGATAGAAATCAGGTAAGTGTTTCTGATCAATCTGTTCAAGGTTAGCAAACCTAAAGCTATTGATTTAAATGAAAAAACAAAAGAACTTTGTGATTGGAAGATGATATCTGAAAGTTGAAAAAGTATTTTAAAAATTTGAGGCAAGCATTTATCATCTTTTCATCAATGATTTTGAAAACTCGTTTCAGGACAAAAGCAGGGGAAAAAAGGGGAAACGATGAAAATGTTTGGAGAAGCGAATTCCTTTCGATGATTACTAGCGATCATTTTCACTTGTTTCCGCTGCCCGGTTTTCTTTTTGCTCGCTTTTTTTCAATCTAATCCCTTGCCGTTCTGTTATTTCTCGAGGGGTGATGAAAAGAGAGAAAATATGTAGGAAAAGAGAAAAGAAATTTGAAAGATTCAACCATCTGCGTCATTCGTTGTCGTTTTTTTGCCTTTGCTTCTCCAAAAAGAAGGCTAACTTTTTCAATTACTGTTTCAATTTAGTTCGTCAGACTGTTGAAACGAGTTTTGAGAAAGAGAATTGCGTAGATGAAAACTTGCAGAACTTCAAGCCAAGTTTGTGGGTAATCTATTATATATAAAAGAGCAGTATCTGTCCGTCCGTCCGTCTGTCCGTCGTCTGTAAGCCAACTTTGTGGTTAATCTATTATATATAAAAGAGAAGTGTCTGTCCACCCGTCTGTCCGTCTGTCTGTCCGTCTGTCTGTCTGTCCGTCCGTCCATCCGTCTGTCCGTCTGTCTGTCCGCCTGTCTGTCTGTCTGTCCGTCCGTCTGTCTGTCCGTTCGTCTGTCTGTCCGCCTGTCTGTCCGTCCGTCCATCCGTCCGTCCGTCCATCCGTCCGTCCGTCCATCCGTCCGTCCGTCCATCCGTCCGTCCGTCCATCCGTCCGTCCGTCTGTCTGTCCGTCCGTCTGTCCGTCTGCGTGTCTGTCCGTCCGTCTGTCTGTCCGTTCGTTCGTCTGTCCGTTCGTCTGTTCGTGCATCCGTCTGTCGCTCCGTCCGTCCGTTCGTCTGTCCGTCTTTCTATTCGTCCGTCCGTCCGTTCGTCCGTCTGCCTGTCCGTTCGTCCGTCTGCCTGTCCGTCCGTCCATCTGTCCGTCTGTCGGTCCGTCCGTCCGTCCGTTCGTGCGTCCGTCTGCCTGTCCGTCCTTCCGTTCGTCCTTGATTGACTTTTCAGCTGGTACGTGGCACTTTCTAACGGTTTGTATAAAATTTGTGTTATGATGTGCTAAAAGTGGAAGCGGTAAATCAGCCTAAACTAAATTTTCTCTAGTGAACTTTGAAAACAATCAAGTGGTGAACAGGAATGGCTTGGCAAACTGTTAAAGCCAGAAAAGTCAACAAAATCGGATCCCAGCTTGCTAAGGGCCCAGTTTTGGGTCAGTGCCAACTTACAGAAAGTCAAACTTAGTAATTGCATAGAATAATTGAACTATCCTTCGTAGAAAGTGTTCTGAATAATGTCGAAAGATTTTCAAGTTAATCAAAGTTTTCCAAAGGATCAAACGAAACCCCTCTTTTCCCCAACAAGCCAATCAATCCATCTCGCGAAAGCAGCTATGGATTTTGCGATATCTCGGCAAAAACACGTAGGACACCCAAAAAATTCACTAGTTTGCGATCAGTGGAATCGTTTCTCGAGAAAGGAAATCAAATGAGAAAGAAAAGATACTCAGCTAATCGAGGAAATTGCTTTTCGGTGAACTGGGGAAATTCCTGAAAGGAATGCCGACAGAGGTCATTCAAATGATGAAAGCTGTTAAAGTTTTAGAATAAAAACAAATCATAGCATTTGCTTGGGGGTAAACCGCAGTTACGATAATTTACGATACGGCCCAAAATCTCCAAAATGTAACCATCTTTCCTTTACTGCTATAACTTCCTATAAATAATGATCAGGATAAGGAGCTCCTACTTGCTGTGATTACGTTCTGAATCTAATAAAAGACCAATAAGAGGTCCCGAGGAGTCGGTCGAGTTCAAGTACTTGCTTTTCTTGAGTTGATCTTGGATTGTCTTTAGGCTGTTAGTCTAGAATCAAGTTGAGTCAATCAAGTTGAATCAATCTAAGCTTGAAGCTTAATTCACGACTCAATGGGCTATTGATGGATGCATTTGACTAGACAATGACAGCTCCAGATGCTGCCGACTGGCTAAGAGCCCCCTGCATCTAATTAGGGATGCT